CAACAGCTATATTGTTCGAGGGGTCTCCAAGATACCCGTGACCAACAATTCAAGGGGAAGGTATCCCCAGACCTGGGACTGGACTTTTTATTTGGCAACCTATGGTTTCTGGGAAGAGATCCTCTCTCTCTCTCTCTCTCTCTCTCTCTCTCTCTCTCACACACACACACACACACACACACACACACACACACACACACACACACATTTAGGAAGCTTATAAAATAGTAGGTTTCAATATGGCTTTTTAAAATGTCCTTAGTGTTAATTATCCTTGCCTCGTCCCCTATTCTGCCTTACTTTGCCACCTCCCTCTCCAGGTAAACCTCCCTCCTCCTTAATCCCCTTTTCCTTTTCACCTGTGTTCTATTCTCCCTTCTCCCTCAAACCACCTTCCTCCCTCTCCCCCCCAGTGGCTTCTTTCACTTAGCTGGGATTTCCATTGCTGTGGTAAAACATCATGAGCAGAAGCAACGTGGGAAGGCAAGGGGTTGTTTCATTTCACTCCTCTGGTCACACTGCACCACTGAGGGAAATCAGGGCAGGAACCTGGAGGCAGGAACCGACGCAGAGGCCGTGGAGGAGTGCTGCTGACTGGATTGTTCGCTCACGGCTTGCTCGGCCTGCTTTCTTATACATCCCAGGACCACCAGTCCAGGCTGGCAATGCCCACATAAACAGGACCCACCCACCTCAGTTATTAATCAAGACAATACCCCACAGACTTTGCTGCAGGCCAACCTATCGGAAGCATTTTTTCAGTTAACATTCTCTTCCCCCAGTTATTTTAGGTTTGTGTCTAGTTGACAAAAACCAACCAGCACACCTGACTCTACAAGTACTCCAAGTTAAACACGCAAATCTAAAGATTTGATGCCAGGATCCACATATTAGTGAGAACACAGTGAGTGTGTCTTTCTGTCACAAGGCATTTTTCTCCACTAATTTAATCATCTTTTCAGATTATATCCGCCGGGATCTGTGGTACTGATAATCACATTCTGGAAGGGAAAAACAAAGTACCACTGCCTGCCATCTTGGGCCATGAAGGAGCTGGGATTGTGGAGAGTGTCGGACCAGGCGTAACTACCTTAAAGCCAGGTAGGTCACTAGGCATGATATTGATGCCATCTAGGGGTGCAGGAAGAGGTTTGGCTTCTCTGCCACTTAAGAAATTAAGAGGCAGGTGTAGCTAGAGTTTTCCTGCCTTGCCCACAGTCAGGACAAATCTTTGTCACCCGCCAGTCCCACAGCCACTCAGACCCAACCAAGTAAACACAGAGACTTATATTGCTTACAAACTGTATGGCCGTGGCAGGCCTCTTGCTAACTGTTCTTATAGCTTAAATTAATCCATTTCCATAAATCTATACCTTGCCATGTTGCTTGTGGCTTACCGGAGTCTTCACATGCTGCTTGTCATGGCAGCGGCTGGCAGTGACTCCTTCTGCCTTCCTGTTCTCTCTGTTAGTCCCGCCTATACTTCCTGCCTAACCACTGGCCAATCAGTGTTTTATTTATTGACCAAAGAGCAATTTGACATACAGACCATCTCACAGCAGGCAGGGCTCTAAGAAATTAAGAGGCAGAGCTGGAGAGATGGCTCAGAGGGTAAGCAGCATTGGTTGTTCTTCCAGAGGTCCTGAGTTCAATTCCCAGCAACCACATGGTGGCTTGCAACCCTCTATAATGAGATCTGGTGCCCCCTTCTGGCATGTAGGCAGAACACTGTACACATAATAAATAAATAAATCTTTTTAAAAAAGAAAAGAGAAGGAAGGGAAAGGAAGGAAGGAAGGAAGGAAGGAAGGAAGGAAGGAAGGAAGGAAGGAAGGAAGGAAGGAAGGAAGGAAGGAAGGAGAAAGATGTGATCAGAAATCACATGGAGCCCCGGCAGAGCTATCCTATGGTAACTGGGAAATCAAGGTCCCCTCTTGAGGGTCTTAGTTTTATTAATGAAAGAATTTAAGAACAATCAAAAACAAGCTTGAGAACAAAGAGTGAATTCAAACAGAAGCATAAAGACAGTTTATCGGAGCTTGAAAGGGAAACCCCAGTTCAGGCAAACTGGAGGGGAGCGGAGGAGTGGAGGAGAGAAGGAATGAAAGCCGTGCTGCTTGGACTGAGGCAGCATGGGCTCAGCCCCTTGGCCACAGATGTCGCAAGCCAAGGAGAGGAGCTTTAGAGAACAGAGGAGGGATCCCAAAGCATTGTTATGGGGTGTGAGAGCAGACTCAGGCTACAGGCAGCTCTGAGAGAAGAAGAAGTAGCCTCAGAAAGGCGAGCAGCCCCCAAGTCTCATGATGGGTTGGCTGGTAGGCATGGTGTTATGTGTCAGGCACTCGGGAAAAGCATGTACTTCCAATAAACCCACCCTCTTGTGGGTTCTCCCTAGCCAGCTGTTCCCTATGTATTAGCTCCTAAGGCAGGGGACAGGTGCCTGTCTTCACCTAGAGGCAGATTCCATTTTTTACAATATAGCACTAATTCCTTTCCTAATTCTCACTCTGATTCTTTCCCTGAGGTAACATGAAGATTTCAGAACTCACCATATATTGACAAAACCATGAAACTGCATCCAGACATCAGACACAGTACAAGAAATAGGCAACTTGGGATTCAAAATCCCAGGCTGAAGATGGAGTTCAGTGGTGTGACACTTACCTACCATGCACAAGGCTGTAGCCACAAGTTTTCTCTGGTCCCACCCAGCCCGCAGTCCCACATTTCTCCAGTCCTGCCCAGCCTTGCAGTCCCACAGCTGTTTATAAAATAATCATTCAGAGGTTTCATACTAATTACCAATTGTATGGCCTATGGCAGGCTTCTTGCAAGCTAGCTCTTTCATCTTAAATTAACCCATTTCTATTTATCTTTGTTTTGCCATGTGGCTGTGGGGTTACCAGTCTACTGGCATGGTGCTCCTTGGGCAGCAGGCTGGCATCTCTCCTCTCTTTCCTTTTCTTCTCTGCATATCTGCTTGGATTTCCCACCTGCCTCTAAGCTGCCTTCCATAAGCCAATGCAGCTTTATTTATCAACCAATCGGAGCAACACATATTCACAGCATACAAAAAGACATCCCACAGCACAAGGTTGTGCTCAATTCCCAGCATGGAAAAATAGAATATCGTATTCTTCCAATTTTATGTTTGACTACAAGGGTCTAAAAAGAAGAATTCTTATCCACTCTTTTCTATAGATATTATCCCACACCAATCGACTCAAAATTAAACTAAGAATTACAATATATACACTGTATCACAATATTGTTAAACACAAAATATGAGCCCTTTTCTACACACACACACATGTGTGTGTATGCACTAATCTTTTCAATTGTACAAAGTAGTATCATGCATAAGAGTTTCTTCTAGAATTTGTATTTACTTTCCCCAAACTACAGACCTTCATGTTTCAAACACTTGATAATATCACATTATTCTTTTTTTTTTTTTTTTTTTTTTTTTT